AGGGGGGTGTGCTTCCCAGGGCAGGAGAAGTCAGGAGCTGCTGGCAGGCCAGATCTTTCATGACTCCATTCTTCTTCTTGTAACCCAGCATGTCTTCAGAGTTGCCTACACTTTTGCAAGAACACCAGAAAATGAACAAATCCCAGGTAAGTTGTTTGTTTGTCTCCACTTTATTTTACAATAGACTTTGTGTAATTTCTAAGAGTCCATATGTTAAGATGGGAAATTAGTAATAGATAAAAGTCAAACTTCACTGAAAAGGTAAGGTAACAGATCCCTACCAGGGCCACCACTGGCCTGTAGATTTATACTGATTGTTAAGATATATTAGAGTTTCCAGGTTGACTTGCAAGTATTTCTCTGATGTTTCTGATAACCATGGTAGAAAGGGGGACACTTGGATACAGACAGATTCTGTTCAAGACCCAATGAGTGCCTCATACTGTTCCTCACTGGAAGCAAAAGCGTCCAAGAGGTGGTCAAGCAGTCAGTTTTATGATGGCCTTGTTTGTTCCTAGCATAAAACCTAGTGTGCTTAGAGGAATGAACGGCCTGCATGCCTATTGCGAAAACTCTCCATAACTATTTTATTTAGCTAGGCTGTGTATACAAGGCGTGCAGCAAATGGTTAAAAGTTAAGTTCTCTAGTAAATGTTTCTGGGGTTCGCAGTCAAATTTTATCCCATAGCATTCTGCCTTGGCTCTTCCCCTCCACTATTTAGAACCTACCCAGGTAAAGGTCACCAGTGACTTAATTGCAGTTGTCTATCTTGAACAAAAGCTACATTACCCTACTGACTACTTTCTCTTGGGAAGTCTCCTTTGTCTTCTTATACAGCTCTTCTGATGGCCCTCTTTTGGAGTCTTCCTCACCATGTCCCAACTTTAGTTCTAAGTTTTCATCCTTGTCCACTAGTCTTCCCATTTTATCTCTATATCTCATTGAAGAAATATGTAGATAGTTGAACAATACAGTTTATTGTTTTGGGTGCTTTTTAAAAATATATATTTTTATTGATTTCAGAGAGAAAGGGAGAGGGAGAGAGAGAGAGAAACATCAATGATGAGAATCATTGATTGGCTGCCTCCTGCACGCCCCCTACTGGGGATCAGGTCGGACCTGGGTCCCTTCAATCCACAGCCCTATGCTCTATCTGCTGAGCCAAACCGGCTAGGGTGGGTGCTTTTAAAAATATATGAATTATCTTAATGGATATATGATACATATTTTTCCCCAACTCACCATTGGAGGGCAACACTGTATCCTAAATACTCTATTTTATTGGTAGACACTTAAGTAATTTCTGTTTTTCAGTAATATAAATGATGTTGCTGTGAATATCCTTTTCATTGTCTCGGCACAAAAGCAAATGTATCTCCCGACTCTAGAGCAGTGCTTCTCAAGTGAGGTTCTTTGACCAGAAGCAGCAGCATAATCTGGAAACCTGTTTGAAATGCAGATTCTAATGCTCCATTCCAAGCCTCATGGCGATGAGAGAGAAACATCGATCAGCCGCCTCCTGCACATCTCCTACTGGGGATGTGCCCGCAACCCAGGTACATGCCCTTGACCGGAATTGAACCCAGGACCTTTCAGTCCGCAGGTCGACGCTCTATCCACTGAGCCAAATCGGCTTCGGCTTAAGTGAGGTTCTTTGACCAGAAGCAGCAGCATAATCTGGAAACCTGTTTGAAATGCAGATTCTAATGCTCCATTCCAAGCCTCATGGAAGAGAAATTCTGGGATCAGGCCCAGCAGTCATGTTGTTCTTGTTGTTTTTTAAAATATATTTTTATTGATTTCAGCGAGGAAGGGAGAGGAAGAGAGAGGTAGAAACATCAGTGATGAGAGACAATAATTGATCGACTGCCTCCTGCACACCCCACACTGGGAATCGAGCCTGCAACCTGGGCATGTACCCTTGACTGGAACCAAACTCAGGACCCTTCAGTCTGCAGGCCGACACTCCATCCACGGAGCCAAACCAGCTAGGGCATCAGCAGTCATGTTTTAATAAGGCATCCATAGGATGCTGACACCTACTAAGTTTGAGAGTCATTGCTCTAAAGTCTTATGATTAATATTTTTAAGTTGTAGAATTTGAGATTTCTAATTTTTCTAGGTATATTACTACTAATTAGAAGACTATTCCTCCTTCCTCTCCAGATATAAAAAATGATTTCTACACTAATATATAAAAAATGTCACAGTTTAATTTTTATGTGTCTGATCATTGAGGTTGTGAAGCTTTCATACATTTATGGCTTTTTAGGTTTTCGACTGAGTTTTGTAGGAATTGTCTTTTCTCAGTATGATATTTTTCTTTTAACTTAATGGTATATTTATATTTTGATACAACTCTTTGTGTCTTCTGCTTTTTATTCTTATTTTCCTTACCCCATGGGCCTAATGCAATTTTTCAATATGTTGTCTAAAATTTCCAAATTTGTTTTAATATTTAGTACCATAATCCATCTGGAATTTTTTCAATAGATGTGATGAAAGGACCTAATTTTATTATTTTTTAAAATCCTCACTTCAGGACATGCTTAGAGGTAGGAAGAGAGAGAAAGAAAGAGAGAGAGAGAGAAACATCAATGTGAAAGAGAAATATTGATTGGTTGCCTTCCCTACACTCCCCGGCTAGGGATCAAACACGCATCCCAGGTATGTGCCCTGACTGGGAATGTTCTGTAAACCATTTTGCTCATCTCTGAACAGGAATCATGGTAAGGATTAGTTGATACATCTTTTTCCATGTCACCTAATTCTGAACATTTCACATTGATCAGAAATTCCAGGCATCAGTGTCATTTAAGGATGTGACTGTGGGCTTCACCCAGGAGGAGTGGCAGCATCTGGACCCCACTCAGAGGTCCCTGTACAGAGATGTGATGCTGGAGAACTACAGCAACCTTGTCTCAGTGGGTAAGGTCTGTTTACTAGGTCATTCTGAATGGCATTTTAAAATCCTTCCAATCATGAAGCATAGAGATAGTCTACAGAGTTTAACGATAGTTAAGATTGAATTTAGGAATCAATGTTGATTGACCACTTTTGGGCACCAGGAAGATATTTGTGTTTACCTCTTCAATAAAATGTTCAGTGGCACCTTCATTGATCAGCTCTGGAAGCTTCCTCCTCTTTTAGAGTCCCTGACGTCTAGGCTTCCTGGTCCAAGTCCTAAATTATTTCACTTTGACAGGGTATTGTGTCACCAAACCAGAAGTGATCTTCAGGTTGGAGCAAGGAGAGGAGCCATGGATATTGGAGGAAGAATTCCCAAGCCAGAGACTCCCAGGTGAGTTAGTGTGTACTATACAGATGAACATCAAGGGATTTGTTATTTTCCTTTGGTTAATCCAGAGGTTGACAGCTTTGAAATGTTTTTTCAAGAATACTTCTTGCCCTAGCTGGTTTGGTTTAGTAGATAGAGCATCAGCCTGTGGACTGAAGGGTCTAGGGTTCGATTCTGGTCAAGGGCACATGCCTGGTTTGTGGGCTTGATCCCCAGTAGGGGGCATGCAGGAGGCAGCCTGATCAATGATTCTCTCTCATCATTGATCTCTCTCTCTCTCTCTCTCTCTCTCTCTTTCTTCCTCTCTGAAATCAATAAAAATATAAAAAATAAATAAATAAAAGTATCGCTAATGGCCACAGGTACACGAAGAGATGCTCATCATCATTAACCATCAAGGCAATGCAAATCACAACCACAGTGAGATATCATATCACACGTGTTGGAATGGCTACCATCTAGAAGACAAGAGGTAGCAAGTGTTTGCAAGAATGTGTAGAAAAGGGACTTCTTGTGCTCTGTTGGAGGGAATGGAATTGGTTCAGCCACTATGGAAAACAGTGTGGAGGTTCCTAAAAAATTAAAAATAGATTTGCTCTATGATCCAGCAAGTCAACTTCTGGGTATGTACACAAAGGAAATGAAAATCGGATATTGAAGAGATAAATGCACTCCCACATTTATTGCAGCATTATTCACAATATCCAAATACAGAAACAACCTGAGTGCCCATCAGTGGTTGAATGGATAAAGAAGAATGGATATAAGCTAAATATGTACACACGCACACACATGTGCACACACACTAAAATATTTAGCTATTTGTGGACATCCTGCTATTTGTGACAACATGAATGTACCTTGAGGCCGTTGTGCTAAATAAATCAAAGGAAGACAAGTACTGTATGTTTCATATGCAGAATCTAAAAAAGCCAAACTTTTGAGAACAAAAAGTAAAATAGTGGTTAGCAGATTATAGTGTGTGCAGAGATAAGCCAATTGTTGTGTAAGGGTATGAACTTGCAAAGAGTAGCAAATAAGCCCTAGAGATCTATATATAGAGAATAATATTGTTTTATAATCATCCAACTTGCTAATAGACTAGAACTTAATTATTTCAACTCCAAAAATAGAAATAATTATCTGAGATAGAGGTGCTAATTATTGGTACAATGGCAGTCATATTACAGTATATAAGTGTTTCAAAATAACATGTAGACCTTAAATTTACACAATGTTATATGTTAAATATATTTTAATCAAAATAAGGTGCTAAACACATACACAGATATTTGCATATATTAAATGTTCTGTGGGTAAAATCTCTCAGAGAAATCAAAGCAGGGTTAAAGTGACTGAGTGCACTACTTTAAGAAGAGTTTGGATTATCTCTGTATTTGGAAGGTGGGGCAGCGATAAAAAAACTAACATTTGTATCATCAGAGTAACAGAAGGGGAGAGGAGAGTGGTGTTGAAGTATTTAAATAAATAATGGCTGAAAACTTCTCAAATTTGGCAAAAGATATAAAACTACTCATTCAAGAATCTGAACTTCCAAGAAGATAAATCCATTAAAGGCACATCATAATTTAATTTCTGAAAACCAATGGAAAAAAATCTTGAAAGTAGGTGTTGGAAAATAACATTACCTTTGGGAATGACAGTGGATATCTTATCTGAAGCCATTGAGGCTACAGGAAATAGCACTTTTTTTTTTCAACTACTGGGGGAAAAAAGCACTTTCAAACAAATTTTTTTTTATCTTGGAAAATGTATTCATTAAAGAGGTAAACTAAAGATATTATACAAAAGAAAACTAAGAGAAAATGTTATTAACAAACCTACTTTTAAAGAAGTGGCTAGAGGAAGTTTTCTAAATAGAAAGGAAATAACACAAGAAAGCTTGGAACTTCAGTAAAGAAAGCTTTGGAAGTGCAAGTCAACTTCTGGGTATGTACACAAAGGAAATGAAAATCGGATATTGAAGAGATAAATGCACTCCCACATTTATTGCAGCATTATTCACAATATCCAAATACAACCTGAGTGCCCATCAGTGGTTGAATGGATAAAGAAGAATGGATGTAAGCTAAATATGTACACACACACATACACACGCACATGCATGTGCACACACATTAAAATATTTAGCTGTTTGTGGACATCCTGCTATTTGTGACAACATGAATGTACCTTGAGGCCATTGTGCTAAATAAGTCAAAGGAAGACAAGTACTGTATGGTATCATATGCAGAATTTAAAAAAGGCAAACTTTTGAAAACAAAAAGTAAAATAGTGGTTAGCAGATTATAGTGTGTGCAGAGATAAGCCAATTGTTGTGTAAGGGTATGAACTTGCAAAGAGTAGCAAATAAGCCCTAGAGATCTATATATAGAGAATAATATTGTTTTATAATCATCCAACTTGCTAATAGACTAGAACTTAATTATTTCAACTCCAAAAATAGAAATAATTATCTGAGATAGAGGTGCTAATTATTGGTACAATGGCAGTCATATTACAGTATATAAGTGTTTCAAAATAACATGTAGACCTTAAATTTACACAATGTTATATGTTAAATATATTTTAATCAAAATAAGGTGCTAAACACATACACAGATATTTGCATATATTAAATGTTCTGTGGGTAAAATCTCTCAGAGAAATCAAAGCAGGGTTAAAGTGACTGAGTGCACTACTTTAAGAAGAATTTGGATTATCTCTGTATTTGGAAGGGGGGGGCAGCGATAAAAAAAACTAACATTTGTATCATCATAGTAACAGAAGGGGAGAGGAGAGTGGTGTTGAAGTATTTAAATAAATAATGGCTGAAAACTTCTCAAATTTGGCAAAAGATATAAAACTACTCATTCAAGAATCTGAACTTCCAAGAAGATAAATCCATTAAAGGCACATCATAATTTAATTTCTGAAAACCAATGGAAAAAAATCTTGAAAGTAGGTGTTGGAAAATAACATTACCTTTGGGAATGACAGTGGATATCTTATCTGAAGCCACTGAGGCTACAAGGAAATAGCACTTTTTTTTTTCAACTACTGGAAAAAAAAAGCACTTTCAAACAAATTTTTTTTTATCTTGGAAAATGTATTCATTAAAGAGGTAAACTAAAGATATTATTATACAAAAGAAAACTAAGAGAAAATGTTATTAGCAAACCTACTTTTAAAGAAGTGGCTAGAGGAAGTTTTCTAAATAGAAAGGAAATAACACAAGAAAGCTTGGAACTTCAGTAAAGAAAGAACTTTGGAAGTGGCAAAAGTAGGGTAAATATGACAGTTTCCTTCTCATGAGTTTCTGAAATCATTTGAACAAAGTTTATAATATGATTTGAGGAACTTAATACAATTATATTTTAAGTTGGAGGAAGAGGGATATTAGTTGAATTAAAGTTTTACATTTCACTTGAAATGGATAAAAGTTGGTAGAACTTCTAGACATTAAATCAACAGTAGACACAGAAAAACGGAACAAGACCACCAGGGTATAGAAGAAATTCCTGCTATTTGTGACAACATGAATGTACCTTGAGGCCATTGTGCTAAATAAGTCAAAGGAAGACAAGTACTGTATGGTATCATATGCAGAATTTAAAAAAGGCAAACTTTTGAAAACAATTCTTTAGAAACCCCAAACTATCAAAACTTAATTTATAGAACACTGCCCAACAATGGAAGAAAAGACATACTTTTCAAGCGCCCATGGAACATTCAGAAAGATAAAACATCTAGAGGCATAAATAAACCTCAATAAATTTAAAAGAATTGAAATTCTGCTGAGTAAGTTATGTTCTCTGACCATAATGAAATCCAACTAAGAATCAGTAACAGAAAGGCAAGAGAAAAATAAACACTTGGAAATTAAACAAGATATTTATAAATAATGGATGGATGAGTGAAGAAGGCTCTCTCTCGCTCTCTATATATGTATATATATATAAATCTCTCTTTCTCCTCTCTCTCTCTCTCTCTCTCTCTCTCTCTATATATATATATATATATCCTCACCTGAGGATATTTTTTCCATTCATTTTTAGAGAGAGTGGAAGTGAGGGGGAGAGACACAGAGAGAGAAACATCAATGTGAGACGCATTGATTGCCTCCTGCATGCACCCCAGCTGGGGCGGGACTGAGCCTGCAACTGAGGTACGTGCCCTTGACTGGAATCAAATCTGAGAACCTTTAGTCTGAGGGCTGGTGCTCTAACCAACTGGTTTGGGCTCAAAAGAAATATTAAAAATACATAGCACAGAATGAGAACACACCATATTAATATATGTGGGAGGCAGCTAAAGCAGTTCTGAGAGGGAAATTTATAGTACTAAAATGCAACTAATGATAAGAAGAAAGGCTTCAAACCCATAATTAAAATTTTACCTCAAGAAACTGGAAAAGAGTAAAGTAAATCCACAGCAAGTAGAAGGAAGAAAATTTAAAAATTAAGAGCAGAAATCAGTGAAGTTGAAAATAGGAAAAGAATAGAGAAAACGAATGAAATAAAAATCTGTTTCTTTGGGGGAGAAAAACAGTAAAATTGATAAACTTCTGACAATATTGACACAAATAATATTAACAAATATTGACAAATCACCAATATCAAGAAAGAAATGGAATATCATTTCTGCATCTGTTAACAGGATATTAAGTGAATACTGTCAACAATTATGCCATAATTTGACAATTTAGAAGAAACGGAACAATTCTTTAGAAACCCCAAACTATCAAAACTTAATCAAGATAATGTACATAATTATATATGGCCCAAAATTTCTTTAGTTCAAATTATCTATGACACCTTCTCTGAATGGCCCATAGATTGTCATAGAAGGTGTCATAGATAATTTGGACTAAAGAAATTTTAAATAAAAAGCTCCAATTAAAAAGGAGAAAAGAAATGTGGAATATCATCACTGGAGATTTTACCAAACATTTAAATAATGAATTATGATTTCACACAATGTCTTGTAGAAAAACAGAAGGTGATGGAACACTTCCTGACAAGTTTATTATTCTGATACTGAAATCATAGAAAGGTAGTACAAAAATAATAAACAAGAGGTCTATATCTCCCATAAATCTACCAGCAAAAATCATTAACAAAATGCTAGCAAATAGAAATTAGCCATGTATAAAAAAATTATATACCATGACCAAGTGGGATATATTCCAGATATGCAGGCTGGTTAACATTCACAAAACCAATCAGTGTAGTCCACCATAGGCTAAATAAGACGATATTATTATACCATGACCAAGTGGGATATATTCCAGATATGCAGGAAGGCTAAATAATATTGTATTGCTTTCTTAATTTTCTTTCAGATTGCTCATTGCAGGGATATAGAAACACAGCTGATTTGGGGGCATTGACCTTAAACCCTGAAACTTTGCTGAATTTGCATATTAGCTATACTAGCTTTCTTGTAGATTCCTTAGGGTATTCTGTCTTCCTTATTCTTTAAGGTTATTATTTTCCTAATCTCAAAAGCAGATGGTGACATAAGGTGCACATAGATGCAAAAATTGAAATAGAATCCAACACTGTCTAAAAAGAATTATATATCATGGCCAAGTAGGATTTATTCAAGGTGTGCAATGTTGGTTCAACATTCAAAAATCAGTTAATATAATCCACCCCATCAGCAGGCCATAGAGAGAAAAATAATATGATGATAGTAATTGATGCAGAACAAGCATTTGCCTAAATCCAACACCCATTCATGATAAAAACTCAGCAAACTAGGAACAGAGGGGCATTTCCTCAACCTAATGAAAAACATGTTAATGTCATACTTAATAGAGAGAAACTGGATGCTTTCTCCACAATATAAGGAGCAAAGCATGGATGTCCTGTTTTAACACTCTCTTTTAACGTCCTACCTGAAATTTCAGGTAATGCAATGGACAGGAATATAAAAAGTTTACCACTGGCAAAGGCCTTTTCTCTCTACTTGTGTGGAGAGCAAGCAAGCTCTGGTGTCTCTTCTTTTTCTAATAAGAACACCATTCCAATTGGATTAGTGCTCCATACATATGACCTCATTTAATCTTAATTATATCCTAAAGGCCCTATCTTAAAATACCATCACATCTGGGATTAGGGCTTCAACATAAGAATTTGGAAGGACAAGATTCTGTCCATAACAAGCTCCTTGTAATTTAAGTCCTATTTTCTAAGGTAATTTTGTTGTTTTCACAGTTTTATTCCTCACTTTGTTCACCTCTTGCCTCCTTAGTTCCCATCTACTACAAGTACCCTCTTTTGGATTTCCCAGTAGTCTTAGCTTATCTCTCAGAACTGAAACATCATCTCAGCATTTTCCTACTGACAGTGGGACTTTTCCTTTCTGGGAGTAATTTTATTTGTACTTAATTATGTTTAAATTCTATCTCTTATTTTACATGGTTGCTATAGTCTCCAGCTAACTTTTCCCATAGATTTTCTGTATTTGAATATCTATGTCCTTACTTGGTGGTGACTGCACTTAGTAGTGTTCTGTATCTCCTAGTTATGCTAAAGTCATGGGTTACTATAGGTAATATTATTGCTCTCCTTATATAAATCTTTATAGTTCTTTTGGAGGATACATGGGAGATTCAGATTTAAGCAGTTGCTATTATTCCTCAGACTGGAAACTAAATGTCTGTGTTCTAATAGCTGGTTTCCTTTCCCTGCTTCCACTATTCCAAGTTTTTTTTTTCTTTTTGTTTTTTTTCACCCAAACCCTCCAAAATAGAAAAATATATGTACTTGCAATTATTTTCATCCCTGGAGTCTGGACATTAAAGTTAGCTACAACATAAAGCATTTGTATATAGGTCACATTTATAAGAAATGTGTTAATATTTATGTGTAAGATTGATTTTTCTTATTTCTAGCCATCTGGAAACCTGATTACATGACAGAGATGAGCCAAGAAAACCAGTTTCACCATGTCTGGAAAGTTGTATTCATGAATAACAAAACACTGACTAAAGAACGAAGTCATGTAATACGAAAACCATATAGCTTGGATACAGATTCTTTTTCTTCCAGAAAAATACTCTGTCAATGTGACTCATGTAGAATGAGTTTCAACTATATTTCAGAATTGATTATCAATAAGAAAAACTATATAGGAAAGAAGACTGATGAATTTAATGCTTGTAGAAAGTTACTATTCAATATTATATATGAAAAAACTCATACTAGAGAGAAAAGTGAATTTTTTAAAAATGGGAAAACTTTCAGTCATGATGAAGACCCTGCTCAACATGAGAAGGTTCAAACTTTGCAGCGAAATTCTGAATTTAACGTATATCGAGAAAGCTTTTATGAAAAGGCACGATTTAATATATACAAGAAAGAGATCACAGATGGGAATGATTGTGAGTATAATGAATATGGGAGAACATCCTGTGAGAACCCATCCTTCTTATTACATCAGACAATGTCCTTAAAGGAAAATCACTATGAATTTAGTGTTTGTGGGAAATCATTATGTGTGAATGCTACACTTTTAAAGCATCATGAGTCACATATGAAACACTGTGATTATAATGAAAGTGGAAATAATTTCAGGAGGAAGTTATACCTCTCACAACGTCAGAAAACTCATAAAGGAGAGAAACACTTTGAATGTAATGAATGTGGGAAAGCTTTCTGGATGAAGTCACACCTCACTCGACATCAGAGGATACATACAGGACAGAAAAGCTTTCAATGTAGTGAATGTGGGAAAAAGTTTTGGGAGAAGTCAAACCTCACTAAACATCAGAGGTCACACACCGGGGAGAAACCCTATGAATGCAATGAATGTGAGAAAGCCTTCAGCCACAAGTCAGCCCTCACATTACACCAGAGAACACATACAGGGAAGAAACCCTATCAATGTAATGCATGTGGGAAAACTTTTTACCAGAAGTCAGACCTTACTAAACATCAGAGAACACACACAGGCCTGAAGCCCTATGAATGCTATGAATGTGGGAAGTTCTTCTGTATGAATTCACATCTCACGGTGCACCGGCGAACTCATACAGGTGAGAAACCCTTTGAATGCCCTGAGTGTGGGAAATCTTTCTGTCAGAAGTCACATCTTACACAACATCAGAGAACTCACATAGGGGATAAACCCTATGCATGTGATACATGTGGCAAAGCTTTCTACCAAAAGTCTGTCCTCACTAGGCATCAGATAATTCATACGGGGTTGAAACCTTATGAATGTTACAAATGTGGAAAAACCTTCTGCTTGAAGTCTGACCTCACAGTACATCAGAGAACTCACACAGGGGAGAAACCCTTTGCATGTCCCGAATGTGGGAAATTCTTCAGCCATAAGTCCACCCTCTCTCAACATTATAGAACACATACAGGGGAGAAACCCTATGAATGTCAGGAATGTGGAAAAATATTCTACAATAAATCATACCTAATAAAACATAATAGAACACATACAGGGGAGAAGCCATATGAATGCAGTGAATGTGGGAAAACCTTCTGCCAGAAATCACAGCTCACTCAGCACCAGAGAATTCACATAGGGGAGAAACCCTATGAATGTAGTGAGTGTGGAAAGGCTTTCTGTCATAAGTCAGCTCTAATTGTACACCAGAGAACTCATACAGATGAAAAGCCCTATAAATGTAGTGAGTGTGGCAAATCTTTCTGTGTGAAGTCAGGACTTATTTTACATCAGAGAAAACACACAGGGGAGAAACCCTATAAATGTAATGAATGTGGGAAATCATTCAGTCACAAATCATCCCTCACAGTGCATCACAGGGCTCACACAGGAGAGAAGGCTTGTCAATGTAATGAATGTGGGAAAATTTTTTACCGTAAATCAGACCTTGCTAAACATCAGAGATCACACACAGGGGAGAAGCCCTATAAATGTAACATGTGTGGAAAATACTTCTCGCAGAAGTCAAACCTTATTGTACATCAGAGGACACACATGGGAGGAAAATTTTATGATTGAAGTGCATATTAGAAATGTTGAGCCACAATTCAGCACCCACTACAACTCAGAGAGTTCACGCTGTGGAGAAAGTTCTGTTGATTTTCTGAATAAAGTAACCTTCATCCACAAACTAGCCTTATTTTACTCCAAAGTGATGATATGGGACAAACTAATAGACTGCAACAAAAGGAGGACAGTGTTGTTAAGAAGTAACATTCAATTGAATGTCAAGTAACTACTGGTATAAAACCCTACAAATGTTTTGATTTTGTTAAAGTTTTTAGCAAAAATTCAAAGTAGGTTATGTCAAAATTTATATTGGGGACAAATCTGTCAATTTGAGACCTATAGTTTGAAAATTTTCTTTAGATGTAATGTAGTATTAATAATTGTGTTTTTGTTTTAATGTCATAAACTGTAATTTATAGATTTATATTGTACAATGTACAGCTTTAAGACAAAACAAAAAGAAATAGCAAAATGAAAAAAGAGAATCACAAGAAGTTGCAATAATAGTATATAGAATTCTCCTGTGCCTTTCACCAAGCTTCTTCTAATGATTATATCCTACCTAACTATATTATGTTCTCAAGTAATTGAAGCGACCCTACTTCTTTGTCAGATAAAGATCATATTCATATTTCCCCCATCTTTACATACACTATATGTGTTTGTGGTTCTATGAAATTTCATCATTTTGAATAATCATCAGCATAGTCAGGTTACAAAATAAAAAAGAAATCTGAAATCAGTATTTCATCAGGTTTACAAAGGAATAAAGATTTCACCACGAGAAGTTCTTTTGTTTTAATTATACCCTTTTGCAAACCAAATCCTGGCAACCATTGAATATGAAACTTTTAGAAAGCAGGGATAAATTAAGTAATTAGGGCAATAGCATTTGATGTATACATGAAGCATATTTTGAGTTCACAGGACTTATATATGTATAAGTGGTACATTATAAAAACTGTGTGTTTCAAAATGCATAATGGAACTTAATATAATTGCGAATAGGAAATAGGCATTCCTAGTTTAGTAGTAGTTACATCAGGTGCATCCCCATGTGTGTAGGGCCTGAAGCAATAGTTTAAAAGTAGGACTGCAAAGCTAATGTTAACCACTTAAAAGTTATAAATAAAAATAACAAAATGGTAAATAAAATGTATTCTGTGCATTGGGAGGTTCAGTGATGGCGAACCTTTTGAGCTCGGTCTGTCAGCTTTTTGAAAAACCCTAACTTAACTCTGGTGCCGTGTCACATATAGAAATTTTTTGATATTTGCAACCATAGTAAAAAAAAGATTTATATTTTTGATATTTATTTTATATATTTGACCCGGTGCACAAAAATTTGTGCACTCGCCGGATCCGGCCTGCGGGCCGTAGTTTGCCCACGGCTGGTCTAGGTCCTAGTCTTATTGCCCCTTTCTTTTCTCATTCAGTTCATCTCAAGCCACAAGGTGCCTTGACTGCACATGTGTGAATACTCTAGCCTTCAGCCTAAATTTTGTCCAAACACTCTGTAATTAGCTGCCCTCCAAGATAGGGTCCAGGAGAGAAGCCAAAGACAGACTAGATGACACTCAGGGGTATAAGTTGGCCTGTAAATTCAGGGGTCTGAGAGATACTGTGCCCTTAGAAACTTTTGACTATATGAGTAGGAGGATTGAGACTGGAGTAGGGACAGAGTAGAGCTTGAGCAGGGCTTTTATGGATAGTGTAAAGGTGGTATACTCAAGTACATCATTAAGTTACACAAGTAATCTAAGATTATACAATCTAGTGATTATAGATTACACAAATAGTCTAAACTTCCATCTTGGGAAACAAGAACAAATTAAGCAAAACAAAAATAATAAGGATCAAAGTGGAAATCAGTGAAATAGAAAACAAAACCTATCAAGAAAATTAATAAAACCAAAAGCTGGTTCTTTGAAAGTCAATAAAATTGTTAAACCTCTAACTAAGGTAACAGAGAAAAAGAGAAGACACAAGTTGCTAATGTTAGAAATGAAATAGCGGCCTTAACCCCTTGGCTATCTCCTGCACACCTCCTACTGGGGATCAAGCCCACAACCTGGGCATGTGTCCTGACCAGGAATCTAACCAGTGACCTCTTGGTTCATGGGTTGATGTTCAACCACTGAGCAACACTGGCCAGGTTGGTTGGTTGGTTCCCTTTTTGTTTTGTTGGCAGTTTCTTTTGTGGTCAACAAAGCTTTTTAGTGTGATATAGTCCCATTGACTTATTTTTGTCTTTACATCCTTTGCCTTTGGGGTCAAATTGATAAAATCCTCTTTAAGACCAAGGTCCATCCATAAGTTTAGTACCTATGTTTTCTTCTATGTCATCTATTGTTTCCGTTCTTGTATTTAGATCTTGGATCTATTTTGAGTTAATTTTTGTATATGTATATACACTAGTGCATCCTTATGGTTAGAGGGGAGACACCCACCCTTTGGTATAGGAAAGGGGTTAATTCAAGTGGGACTTAAGCCCTCCGAAGCAATCATTGCCATGGAGAAGGCCCCTAATCTTGATGATCCTGATTGGAGGCTCTCTGGAGGAAGAAATTTGCAACTTTGATTAAAGAAAAGAAGAACCCTCTGAAGTATACTATGAATCAATGTGGATCCATGACTTTGGCCATCTCTCCTTCATTGGACCTTTAGAAATCTTATTAAGGTGGCAGACCCTTGAATTTTTGTAGAACTTATATTCCACCCTCAGGTACCCAAGTGTCTTGACTAGTTGCTAAATCTTACACAATAGTTTCAATCAGCATTATGTCATTAATGTAATGAACCAGCAAGATGTATGGTGTAAGAGAAAGACAATCCTAAGCAATAAAAAAATTTTTGTAAATAAATCAAAAACCACATCTGGAGATGCCATGACAAGTGGGTTCACCGCCTGATTAGATTTATGATAATCCACTGTCATTATCTAAGTGTATATGTATTCTGTCCTGCCAAGTAGGTAAGTCAAATGGAGATGTAGTAGATATCACCACTCCTGGATCTTTCCAGACCTTGATGGTGGCACTAATATCTGTTGTCCCACCAGAAATGCAGTATTGCTTTTGTTATATTATCTTCGTAGGCAGAGGCAGTTCCTAGGAGTTCCACATGGCCAGTTTTGTTGTACTAGTAATAGCTCTTACTTGACAAGTCAAGGAACCAATGTGGAAATTCTGAAAATTTCTGGTGTCTCTATTCCAATTGTGCATTTCACAATTGAGGAAGGAACTACATTATGGGTTTGGGAAACCCACTGGGTCCACTGAGATAGACATTAGCTCAAACTCCATTGACCACTTGACCTCTATGAACCCCTACTCCGAATGGTGTACTACAGTGACTTTGGGTCACTAGGAATTAGCATAAGTTCAGAGAAGTGTTTGGGAATTCCCAAAAGTCTGATGATTTCCTTCTACCCAATGCACAGTCACACTATTAAATGGCTATAGGTTCTTTTGGGGAATGCTGGAGGAAGAGTAACAGCATACATTCTGGGCAGTGTAGTGGGTTCTTCCTCAAGAAGGAGACATTCTGTTTCTGTAAACTGGCTCAATGCTGGGAGTTGATTGAGAGGCATGACTCTTTTTATGATTCAAGTCATACTTCTGCTCATTATATTTGGAACCCAAGTGGCACATCTGCTCATTATATTTGGAACCCAAGTGGCACATCAGGGTCTCCTGGCCATGCACATTAGAGACTTACCCATTCTGGGCTCGTCAGCCCACCAACACCTGTTTCCTTTCCCCAGTTAGATGTAGCAGGTGACCAGCACCAAGGGAGAGAGGCACTCCTGAATAAAAAATTACTCAGCAGCTGCTAGGCATCAGCAGTTCCAGTTCTTGTTTTTATAAGAAATGGTCTTGACTCTTAAGTTCTGTCACGGGGTAAGTCAGCTACAGGCAGCCTGGGAAACTGAGGGACTTACTGAAGGGGGCTCCCATGACCTCCTGGGTGGCCTCCCAAAATTGTAAGTGGGAAAATGACCCACAAGTCAGGCTGCCTGCTTCCACGGAAGTCAAACTCATGATACAGGCCTGGTTGAGAAGGAAAGAGGTTTATTCAGGTGTTGACAACCTAAGAAGATGGCAGCCTCATGCCTTCACAACCATCTTTACATCTCAGTGTCAATAGGGGTTTTTCTAGGGAAGGAGAAGGAAAGCAAAACAAAGAAACGAGGGGAAGAGCTACGGATGTGCAGGCTGTGTCCTTGCTGGTTCCAATATGGATCATTAATGTCAATACACGAGAGCTGGTCAGTGCTAGCCAAATTCCTGCAGTTGGGTGATCTACATCAACTGAAGTTGTGGTCAAGACCATTTCTTATACAAGCAGGAACTGGAACTGCGGATGCCTGCAATATGCTTATAAGGAAATTGTCAGTATGTGAGCTCCTTTTATCAGTTTCTTAGTGGTACATTTTATTCTAATTTCATTTCATGGTTAGTCAGAATACTATAAAATTTTTATTCCCTGTTACAAAATTGCTGATGTGTGAGTTTCTATATGCATATGATTCCCATTCCTGGTCCTTGGGGTGGGGGCGCTTAAAGGCAAGTAGGAGATATGATACTCTGAGCTCACCAGGGCAAAAAAATTCTCCACACTACGATCCCCAGCAAAGGGGAAGTGCCATTTGATGGGGACTTCTAAAAATAATTCCAGCACCAAAACTTAACATTCTTCCTGCAGTTATTTTTTGGTTGTTTTCTGCCTGTATAAATCTTTTAATTTTATTGATTTCACACTTTCAATTACTTTTTTCCATTCATATTCCTGTCATGTTTTAGAATAAGGATTCACACTGTTTGATTGGACTGTTCAACTTTATTTTTTTAAAAAAACTGTTTTTATTGATTTCAGAGAGGAAGGAAGAGGGAGAGATAGATAGAAACATCAGTGATAGAGAAAAATCATTGATCAGCTGCTTCCTGCATGCCCCCTACTGGGGATCGAGCCCACAACCCAGGCATGTGCCCTGACCGGGAATCAAACCATGAACTCCTGGTTCATAGGTCCACACTCAACCATCTGAGCCACACCAGGGAGGCTGGTTCAACTTTATTGCTGTGCCTTTTTGTTTTTAATCCCAAAGAGCCATTAATAGTGATAGGAGATTTAGTTTCCGTTTTAATTTCAGGAAATTCAAAACGAGAGATTATTGTTTTCTAACATTTAATTATACAGACTATGTTAAATTATACATTCAATTATTATTTTATTGATTCTCATAGTTTTTGTTCTCCTTGTTTTATTTCAACAGATAGGTAGAACTTTTGTATCAAATTTAGATTATAACTTCCATTCTATTTTTTAATCAATATCTGCAAATTCTCTGGAATTCAATGTGTTAAGAAGAGTTGTGTCAGCTCCCATCCATCTTAACACACAATCAAAGTCCTTTTATTATGTATTCACTGGTTTGATTTTCTACACAATTTTGTGCTGTGGGCCATAGTCAATGATGAGCTCCTTTAAACATGAGGTGTGGGCCTTTAACTGCTTATACAAGTTTCAGCAGAGCTGGTGAAGAAAAGGCGTCTGGAATCCAGTTGTTTCACTTTTAGTGTCTCTTAGAGATTGTGTTGGCCATACTGATGCTGAGTTCAGAAACATAACTCTTGAAAGTCTCTTCAACAAATACATTGTCTCATACACTTTCCTCTTTCAAAATCCTGTTTGAGCCAAGGACCTCATGTGCCAACTAATGAATTCTGAACAGTCCCTCTTTGTTTGGGGGTTCCTTTAAAGCATGTGTGATGTAGATTT